TTTACTGTGTAAGGTAGAGTTCATAAGTTCTAGAGACTAGGACATGGAAATATTTTGGGATGAGAGCATTTTCCATTTCACCAACAATAAATATCTTCCCCCAAATTGTTCTTCTCTAATGTAGAATTTTAAAAAAATTACAAGGCACATATATGAAGCAAGACAGCTGGACAAAATCTTACATTCAATGCTATCTAATCTGTGGGTTTTAAATGTTGGGGTGTCCTCATTCCACTGTCTCTAATTTTGAGTTCTTGATGTGTAGATAGTTTTAGAGGATTTTTTTGTAACGCAGTGTAAACCAAACAGTATCTGATACAGGTCTCAATCAATTTACAGGTTTTGTTTTGCCAAAGTTAAGGATGATGGCCTGTGACACATCCTTAGAAGGTCCTGAGAGAATGTGCTCAAAATGGTTGGGTTACACCTTGGTTTTATGCTCTTTAGGAAGACAGAAGTTACAAGCAAAGGCATCAATCAGTATATGTAAGGTTTACATTGGTTTGGCCTAGAAAGGCCAGACATCTGGAAGCAGGGACTTCTAGGTCATAGGTGGATTCAAAGATTTCCTGACTGGCAATTTGTTGAAAGAGTTAAGCTCTGCCTAAAGAGTTAAATTCATCATAAAGAAATGCTTGAGTTTAGATAAAGGAGATGTGGAAGCCAGAATTCTTGTCATATAGATGAAGCCTCCAGGTAGCAGGCTTCAGAGAGAATAGCTGGTGAATATCTCTTGTCAAAACTTAAAAGTTGTCAAACTCTCCAGCAAAAGATCCAGTAAGGGGAGGGGATTCTCTACAAAATGCAATTTTTTTCCTACAAGTGACAACTTTGTAAGGCCATTTCAGAATATGTCAAAGAAATATGTGTTGGGGTAAAATACTGTGATTTTCTTCAGGGCCTATTAACTTTCATATGATGCTATACCAGAGTCATGTTGGAATTTGGTGTGCTATTGCTACAGAGAGTCTGCTTTGTCAATTTTAAGATCTCTGTTTTAATTGCAATACTGGTTGGTTGTCTCCGAACTACAAAGGAAGGAGGGTATGATGAGGCATGGCCAACACCTCCTTCCCAATATGATCTAAACTAGTCTTTTATGTTTCCTTGAGGTTCCCTTGGCCAGGAGGGGGTCCATTCAGTCAGTTGGGGGACGCCTAAAATTCAAATTTCGCTTTACACCAGAAAAAATAAATTACTGCACAAATTAAATCTAAAATAGGTTGGTCAAGGAAAAGATGGATGGTAAAAGACACGTCAACAAGCCACCTAAATCTTAGGATGACTGAGGCTCAGCTCCATATAGAAACATGGAGAAAATGCCTCTGGCTGTTCTACCTGAGAGGGGAGGGAGCTGGGGTATGTATACACTTCCTTCTGTCCTCACAAATTTCTCATTCTGTTTTGAACAGAACAGAATCTGTTCAAATTACTCCATCACTGGGTAATTCATAGAGACCAGAAATTTGTTCTGTCACATTTCTGGAGGATGGGAAGTCAAAGATCAAGACACAGGCAGGTTAGGTTCTGCTTTATCTAGTTTAAGATGGCAACCTGAATGCTGAGTTCCTCTAGAAGGAAGGAAGATCATATCCCGGCATGACAGGAGAGCAGAAGATAGAGAGGGAGCCCACTTCCACCATCCCTGTTTATGGTGGCATTAACCCATTCATGAGGGTGGATGCTCATTCCAGGCCCTCTGTCCAGCCGTGCATGCAGGCAGAGTTGCCTTCTCTAGGATCAGATAACAGAAGACACATAGGTGGCCACTGGAAGTCAGTAGAGGGACAGTGAAGGGAAAAGGCCTAGAGTACAGACAGGGACTGCTACATTCATCAAGGAAAAAACACATGTGTAGTTAACCCTTGAAAAACATGGGCTTAAAAGTTACAGGTCCATCAATAGATAGATTTTCTTCTGCCTGTGCCACCTGTGAGGGAGCAAGCACTTAATAAGTAGTAAATATATTTTCTCATCCTTATGGTTTTCTAAATAACATTTTCTGTTCTCCAGCTTATTTCATTGTTGTAAGAATATAGTATATTATAAATACAACATAAAAACCTGTGTTAATCTACTATATTATCACTGAGTCAACAATAAGCTACTAGTAGTTAAGTTTTAGGGATCCCAAAGTGATACACAGATATTTTGCTGCACCAGTGGTTAGTGACCCAACCTCCATGTTGTCCAAGGGTCAAGTGTACTTTCAATTTGGAGCTGCATCTCTCTGGAACAGGATCTTGACAGGTAGTTTGCAAGTAAAGGATTACAGGAAGTAACATCTCTTAAAATGCTACATGGTATGATGATTATTTCATACTGAAAACGTTTAGAAAACAACAAATGCACAAAGGGGCTTTTCCCTACATGTCCCTTATCTGTCTAAAGTCAGATTCTCCAGGAGAAAAACAATTGTCAAGAAAATCCTCTCTGGGAATTTTTATATCAGGGAAGATTAGTACTCAAGAGAAGTCAAACTTAGAAGAGACTGAAAGTTGACACTTTTTTCCAGACATCCTATTACCTATTCTTTTAAAGGTCCACTTAAAAAAAAAAAAATCTGAGGTCATTTATTCTCCTTAAGTTGTCTGCACTCTCCACTTCCCTCTCACCTATGAAGGATGTATGTGCAGCCAGAACTCACTGTATTATCTGGGTGATAATTCTGTGATTTTTCCCTGCGTGTTAAATAAACTGTCTTTTTTCTCCTATGAATCTGTCTTTTGTCCGTTTACTCTCACCAAACCTTTAGAGGACAGAAAACACTTTCTTTCTTTCCCCTTTACACAGGTATCTTCCCTTAAAATTCAGGCTGCTTACAAGAGAGCAGAAAAGTTTGTGCACAGGCTACAGCACTATAATTTGACTCCCATAGTTGGGCATCAGTATTGCTCCCTGGAGCCCAAGGCTACAGCCCACTTGTACTGATGCAGTTGGGTCCACTTCCCCTGCTGCTGAGCCAGGTCACGATGCTTTTGGCAACTTTGGAGATGTAAGACAAAATGGGTGTTCAGTTTTATCTGGATTTGAGTGATTTATCCGTGTACATGGGAAATTGCTTGATAGGAGATGGAGCCTCTCTTACCTAAAGACACCAAGAGGGAGGCTGGCATCTGGGTCAGGATGATGTCCTCACTCACTGCTGAAGAGTAAAAAAGGAAAGTGGTGTTGATGGTGCATGACAGGGACATGCACAGAGCAGCAGCTGCCCTTGTTTGGAGGGAGAGTTTCCTGGCCTGTTTCCCCAGGCCCTCTCCCTCAACTGCCAGGTTCCAGGAGAGCTGCTTCTGAGTCCTCAGGAACATGCTGGTGGAAAGTGCAGCTCATAGCATTAGCCGGGGAATATAATCTTTATCTTTCTACGTTGGAGATAATTATCACTGGAGCCTTTATTAATCCAGGGGTTCAAGTTTATCCTAGGCCAGGCTCCTACAGTTGGAGGTAAATACCGTGACTTTTGTTGAAGTAATCAGATCTGCATTATTATTCAGCCTTTCTTGCTGATGAACTGTGGGAAACAATATTCAATAGCAGAAAAGGGGTGCATATGGAAGTCCCCAGACCAAGACTAAGGTGCAACTAATTCAGACTCTGGGTTTTAAAGACACCTATAGCTCTGAATAATGATGGATCTCTGAGGGACCCATGCATTGAGGAAACAGCCTGTCATTTTTGCGTATCTGCAGTAAGTTGCTTAATCTTATGCTGGAAAGAAGCATGGCTTAATACCATTACAATATATTTTCAGTAATTTAGCATTATTTTGATACATTTTATTTTCAAATTTTTAAAGAAAGGACCAATTTTACATTCATAAAAAAAGTTGCAAGTACAGCACAAAGTACCCCCTCCTGTAACTGGAAACATTTGAGACTATACTGAAGACCTGATGACCCCACCCTCTAACACCTTACCATGTTGTAACCTCCCAATGCATTCATCATGCCTGCTGCCTAGACAGAGCTGATTTATCAAGACAGGGGAATTGTCATGGAGAAAGAGTAATTCGCGAAGAATTGGCTGTGCGGGAGACTGGACTTTTATATTAGTACTCAAATCAGTCTCCTAGAATATTTGGGGATGTTTTGAAAGATAATTTCGCAGGTAGGGGCTTGGGAATGGGAGTGCTGATTGGTCAGGTTGAAGACGGGATCATGTGGGTGTGGCGGTGGTTGAAGTGAGGTTTTCTTGCTGTCGTCCATTCCTGGATGGGATCACTGAACTGGTTGATTCAGATTACCTGTCTGGGTAGTGTCAGCTGACCAGGCAAGTGCAGCGTCTGCAAAATGTCTCCAGCACTAATTTCGTAGGTTTTACAATAGTGATGTTATCCCCAGGAGCAATTTGGGGAGGTTCAGAGTCTTGCAGCCAGAGGCTGCTTGACCCCTAAACCATAATTTCTAATCTTGAAGCTAATTTGTAAGTCCCACAAAAGCAAACTGATCCTAGGGCAAGAAGGGTGCCTTTTCAGGAAAGAGCTATTACCAATTTTGTTTCAGAGTCAAACTATAAACTAAATTCCTTCCCTAGGTCAGTTCAGCCCATTTCCAGGAATGCACAAGGACAGTTTAAAGGTTAGGTTAGAAGCAAGGTGGAGTCATTTAGGTCTGATCTCTTTCATTGTCATAATTTCCTCAGTTACAATTTTTGCAGAGGCAGTTTCAAAGTGTTCCCTATAAACAAGATATTCTCCTAAACAGGCCCAATACACCAATAAAATACATTACTCCAGCTAGTCCTCAGGAATATTTCTAATTTTGACAACTATTCCAAAAATGTTTCTTATGAAATGGTCTCCAGGAAGAAACACAATCTCTGCAGACAAATCTGTGCTATCCTGGTCTGAGCTGGGACACTGGGGACACTTAGCCTATGCTGAGTTACTGAGAACCAACCCCTGCAGCTGTGCCCAACCTGCCCCATCTCCTGTTGATTTGCATGTTCCCGGGTCACAGCCCACAGCCCTGAAGACTTATTAATGGGTTGGTCACACCCTGTGCAGGAGTCAGTCACAGTCAGGACACAGCATGGACATGAGGGTCCCCACTCAGCTCCTGGTCTTCCTGTTGCTCTGGCTCTCAGGTAAGGAAAAGCATTAGCAATTTACTCAGCCTAGTGTGGTCAATATTGCCTAGCCATTCAGGGAAGGCCTTATAATATGATTAATTGCGTGCATATTTGTTTTTATGTTTCCAATCTCAGGAGTCAGAGGTGACATACAGATGACCCAGTCTCCATCCTCCCTGTCTGCATCTGTAGGAGACAGAGTCACCATCACTTGCCGGGCAAGTCAGAGCTTTAGTAGTAGTTTAGCCTGGTATCAGCAGAAACCAGGGAAAGCCCCTAAGCTCCTGATCTATAGTGCATCCAGTTTGCAATCTGGGGTTCCTTCGAGGTTCAGTGGCAGTAAGTCTGGGACAGATTTAACTCTCACCATCAGCAGCCTGCAGCCTGAAGATATTGCCAGTTATTACTGTCAACAGTATTACAGTTACCCTCCCACAGTGTTACACACCTAAACATAAACCTCCCAGGGAAGCAGGTGTGTGAGGCTGGGCTGCCCCAGCTGCTCCTCCTGGTGCCTCTATCGGCTGGAAGTGTTCCTCAGATGTAGATTTAATGAAGGATAGAAATGATTACACATGAGGATTCTGTTTTATGGACTCAATTGAGATTCATACAGCAAAGAAAAGTCACTATAGATATTCTAAGCAGGAATTATTGTAATACAGAGAATTGTCTGAACTATTGTTGAAGTCAAAATAAAATGTAGATTCATCTCTACATTTATTGTTTTCTTTGGGAAGACAGAGTTGCAATATGGGGCATACAGGAAGACTGGGTAGTCTTACATATGTCAGAGGAACAAATAGAAGAGGCTTTATTAAAAATAAAGAAAAATGTTAGGTATTACCCTTTGAGAAAGTTAACTGGCACAAGTAAGGGTTGGAGCTGGCAACTGAGACTGGTCAGCAATGGTAGTGGGCAAAATTAGTCCTTGAGTTTTAGCAAGTTATCTGAGAAGATGTAGATAAAACTGGTTTCAGGTTACAACAAGCAGTCAGGCTCACAGAGAATTACATTCTGGGAGCAGTGTTTCATATCCTGAGTGCTTTTTCACCCTGGCTTCTTGACTTTGTTTTAGGTGGGTATTGCGGGAATGACCCAGTTCCTATGATGAACTTCCACATTACAAACTTTTAAAGTCCAACATATAAAAGTCGGGAAGCTTTATACTAGAAACGGGATTCTATGGTGCTCCTTCTGCAGAGACAGCTGCACCTGTGCAGGTGATAAGATCATGAGCTGCACACTTTGCCTTACTTTTTTTTTTTGTAAATAAGTTGCCTGATTCAATGCCATATTATGGAAGAATTTCTTAACTGTGATGAAAGCACTTGGAAAATCCTCAAATAATATTTCATGCAGAAATATAACTGACAAGAAAGACAAATGCATGTACAGGAAAACAACCGCTGCCCTCCTCATGTTGGATGAGGCCTTTTAAAAACACCTGACACCAGCTATTAGTCTGATCTTTGATGTCTGTTATAATCTTAGGTTATTCTTCTTGGAAAGGTGGATGCTCAGAAGTGCCGGTATCCCCGTGAGTCCCAGTATGTGGCCGGGGTTACTTTGAAAAGGTTGATTTGTAGTTTAAGGTCTGAAACAGAAAATGAGCACATATGACACAAGTTGCTGGTACAAAACTAAAAACATAAGCATGCATTTGTTGAGCCCTGGAGCCTGTTATCTTCTGGAAGAGCTGGAGCCAAAACTGGGTCACATATCAGTCTTGGATTTATTTAAAAATGTTTTATTTTATCTGTTTTGTTTTAATGACTCCTAGTTTTACTTTATATTAATTTGAGGATAATCATCATCTGATTTTGACATGTGTTCTTCACTGTCTTTCAGTCCAGACATATTCCCTGACATACTCCTGTCACCATATAAGGAACAGAGAACTATCATTTCATGATAGGTTTACTGTTTAACGTTGCTGAAATAGGTAATTATTTGGTTGTCCTTGTGTGTGTTGGCATGGGGGTACCCTGCATCACCATAACTTTGAGTTTCAATTTAGAGTATTCTATATATTGTACTTGAGGATACATGTAAAGGCATTCATTCCTTTGTACCAGGCCCTGTGGTCAGCAAGGTCTAAAATTGCATGACTGGAAACCCATGTAACCCAGCTGTGTTCCTGTGAATCATAAGAGAGTTTCCTCCTACTTCTGACCTATGACTTCCTAAACCATTGCTTCATGTTAACATGGTCATCAGTTTAAAGATTCCGGAGCTTGCAGTGAGCTCAGATCCGACCACTGCACTCCAGCCTGGGTGACAGAGCGAGACTCTGTCTCAAAAAAAAAAAAAAAAAAAAAAGATTCAGCACATGTTGAAGGAGAGTATCTGAAGTCAGTAGAAGGTCATAAGGTCATACCCACATGGACTTCCTTGGGTGAAGTATTTGATAGGAACAATAGATGCCATGATCATGTGTCTATTATTTCATTTCTTTCACCACATTTTAGTGCCCTGATTATGAAATATTCCCATATCAATAAAACATACAGACTCTAAACACGGTAATAGTCAATTATAGGTGAGCAGAAAAGGCAAACATTTATCTAGAACACAGAAGAATCCTAGTACAAATGTGTTACAGCCACCTCCAGGGAAAGTGATCTAATATCCCAAATTATCACCAAATTTCTGATGGTTATTTGCCTCTGCTGCTGAGAAGTCCCAGAAGTGGCAACAGTTGGATCAGCACTGGTGCAGATAGTGATGGAAAGTCACAGCTCATGTGTTGCACATGTGCACTCCAGGTCACCACAGCTGCTTTGTATAAACAATTATTATGCAAATACTGTGGGAGTTAAGGGAAAAGTCTAGGTTCGGTTAACCTGTGTAAAGGTGGATGATTCATGAGCATGGATTGTTTGTTGTTGTTTCACCTATGGCAGACATTCTCTGCTGTTTTGATACAATACACAAATTTCTGCACACATAATTTCCTACTCCCATGGGTGCATTGACATGTCTCTTCTCTAGGGCTTCTTGTCTCTGATCTTCCAATCCGTTTTCTAGGATGTTGGCCAACCAGCTTCCCAGGAATCCATGTATATAATTAACTCACACTTCATTATTAACATTAGTTTGATTACCGTGTGTCCTGCTCAACTACCTTCTGACTCCAGGTAATATTTCACAGCCACCCATGATTGTGGCCATAGTGTGGGAGGAATTCACTCCTATTTACATGAATGTATGGTGTAGATTCATTCAAGAAGAAGCCTAGCTTTTTTCTTTGTCATTGTGGTTTTGTTTGTTTGTTTTTGTTTTTATGTTTTTCCCCTCTGGCATTAGCTGAATGGGAAAATCCATGAGATCATTGAACATTAGCATAAGAGAGGAAAGTTATATGGGAAACTGGAACACCTGTCATTCTAAGTGAAGCATGCTCTCTCTGAATCTCTTTTCACCCAATTCTGAAAGTGCAAACTCCATGGTAATACTGAGTAGTTCTGAACATTACCTGGACATATAAATTTTTAAGACTAAAATTCCCAGTGGATGAGGGGCAGCTCAGTCACATAGTTACCTATTGCCTCATGTGCACATCTACTAGGGCCCTGAGATATTCTGAGAGCTGCATTTTAAACAGAAAATTGTTTGTTTGTTTGTTTTCTGTGCATTACACTGTCCTCCCCTAGAACCCCAGAGATTGACCCTGTGATTCTAGTTTGGAGCTGGCAAGAGAGTTCACAGTGTCCTCATCTAATACAGATGCATCTAACCCAAGCAATGTGCTGGATCACACGACCCAAGCAACAGAGCCACCTGTATCAGAACCCAAACTTGCGGCAGAACTTCTCGTTCTCTGAGCCCACTCCAAACAGACAGCCTTGCGAGTAAGCTGATAAACAAGATGGTATAGTAGATCCAAGCGTGGAATGTGTTGTGACGACACTACAGGGTCAGCTTGCCAACACTGTGGTTTGTTCTCATTGGTTGGAGGTGCAAGACGAAATTATTTTCCCTTACTTTGAAAGGAATGATCAGCATGACTCACTCCCCTTCTCTAAATCCCTGATATCTTCCCCAACGTGACAGGCCCTTAAATCTGTAGGGATGAATCCCATTCTCTGTTCCTCAGGTGTTTTCATTGTATATTGAGAATCCATATTATTTTCTGCTTATTGCATGATCTCATCAACATACTGTTGTGCGGGGTGTTGGTTTGTGAAAGGTCCACAGGATCAAGGTTTCTTCCGCCTATATTGTGACAGAGAGCAGGGAAGTTAATGTAGCCCTGGGCCGAGATTGAGGATATGAGCTCCTGTTCACCCCAGACGACTCCAGAACCTCCCAGAGACTGCGATGAACTCTGTCTTCACTCTGAAGCTGGGCGGAGGGTCTGGTCAAGCCCTGTCAGAGCCTCAGCACCATGCGTCTGCAGGTGCCAGCAGAGGGCGCTTCTCACACTCATGGAAGGGGCGGGGAGGGCGATCTCCTGGCAACGGTGATGTCTGTGTATTTGCCAACACTGTGGTTTGTTCTCATTGGTTGGAGGTGCAAGACGAAATTATTTTCCCTTACTTTGAAAGGAATGATCAGCATGACTCACTCCCCTTCTCTAAATCCCTGATATCTTCCCCAACGTGACAGGCCCTTAAATCTGTAGGGATGAATCCCATCCTCTGTTCCTCAGGTGTTTTCATTGTATATTGAGAATCCATATTATTTTCTGCTTATTGCATGATCTCATCAACATATTGTTGTGCGGGGTGTTGGTTTGTGAAAGGTCCACAGGATCAAGGTTTCTTCCTCCTATATTGTGACAGAGAGCAGGGGAGTTAATGTAGCCCTGGGCCGAGATTGAGGATATGAGCTCCTGTTCACCCCAGATGACTGCAGAACCTCCCAGAGACTGCGATGGACTCTGTCTTCACTCTGCAGCTGGGCGGAGGGTCTGGTCAAGCCCTGTCAGAGCCTCAGCACCATTCATCTGCAGGTGCCAGCAGAGGGCGCTTCTCACACTCATGGAAGGGGCGGGGAGGGCGATCTCCTGGCAACGGTGATGTCTGTGTATTTAAACCAGTAAGAAAGCCCCATAATTTGCATGTATCCCTCCTCTCACATCTAAAGTGGTCCCACCTCTCAGTATCTATAAGAGGTTTTTTCTCTGAGATGTGGCTGAAGCAAAACGTGCAAGTCAAAAGCAGCGAGCGAGATGTCCCCATGGCAACTCCTGGGGTTTCTGCTGCTCTGTGTTCCAGGTGAGAATATGTGGACAAAGCTAAAAGTGGGACCATTATTTCAATCAGTGATTTTTTTTTTTCATTAGGAACTCTGCCTCTTATGAAATTTAGTGTGTTTTCTAATATGAATTTATAAAAAGTAATGTATATGCTTCCTCCTTGTCTAACTAAATTAGTGGTGATTTTGATATATATACAGTTATGGTATACTAGTATTTTCTGTGTGTTGTTAGCCTCCAGGGGTATATTGTGCTGACCTGTCCCCAGCCTTTCTGTCTGGGACTCCAGGAGAGAAAGTCACCATCACCTGCTGGGTCAGTCAGGGCATTAGCAGTAACTTACACTGGCACCAGCAGAAACCAAATCAAGCTCCAAAGCTCCTCATCAAGTTTGCTTTCCAGTCCATGTCGGGGGTCCCCTCGAGGTTCACTGGCAATGGATCTTAGACAGATTTCATCCTCACCATCAGTTGCCTGGAAGCTGAAGATGCTACAACTTATTACTGTCAGCAGAGCAATAGTTTTCCTTACACTGAGTTACAACCCAGAACAAAAACGAGCTCAGCCTGGCTGAACAGAGAAACTGGGGATACCCTGTTCTTCTAATCATCGTAGGGGCATCTGGGGCAATGATCTATGCAATACCATGACATCTGCCACACCCAGCAGAGTTGAAACCCAAGAGTCACTGTCTTATAACTTCATCTTTAACAAGTCTTTTTCAGAATATGTGCACAGCAGTTGAAGATTACCTCTCCCTTTTCTTTCCATAGACTTACATAAACTATTTTCTACAAGTTGGTAAAAAACAAACAAACACACACAAACTTTGGATATTTCTTCAGAGAAATAGTAATTCATTTATGGCAAATAGGTTTTAAAGGGTAAAGATTAGAAGGGGAATAGGTGATGGCCTGGAGATGTAGTGACAAAAGAGCCCATGAACTCAGGTGTCAGTGAGTGTGGGTTCAAAGGAGTCACACAGTGATCTTATTTCAAAAGAAGTCCCCTGAAGCCTCAGGCTTTATAAGTCAGATTAACATTAAGGCTCACTTTCATCACTGTAGGAGTCAATGGGGAGTTCAGGAAGCAATGGATATTTAGGTTTTCATGTATGGAAACTGGTCTATAGGCAGTATAAATATAGACTTTCAGCTAGGGCTTTTGAAAATAAGACTGTCTCCAAAATAATATTTATCTAAAGTAAAAAAAGAAATGAATCATTTATTGCCAGTCTTAGGAGCAGGATAGGTCTCCAGGCCTAAAGAGGTTGAAATTAAGAATCCTCAATTCTTCAATGTGAAATGCTTCACCAAAAGTTGAGTATACCAAGGCAC